AGAAATGCTGAATTGCAATTATTCGCTTCATTTTATCTTCATTGTCGCCATTTCAGGTTCTGAAGGCTCGAAAAACTCCACGGAATGCTCGTCGGCCGAGTCGGAAGAAGGGAGCGGTACGAGATGCGAGTTCGGCGGAGGCCTAAGTCCTATTATGACTGCACTCTAATTGTTCTGACCACATTAAGCTGGCGTATACAAAGAAAAAAACAGCGACGCGCTCGCAGTATAAACACATCTTAAAGGTATAACCACAATCAAACCCGGAAAACGGGATCGAACGAGCCATATATGTACTTTGAAAAGTATTTGTAGGTTCCTTTTTCGCGCTGTCCTTAATCTTCTAGTCGTATTCTATTTATTCATAGGTACAGATACTCTTCTAGAAGCAGATGTTTTCGTCAATTCTTTGCTACTTCACTTGTATGCTTTCACTTGCAAGTATGCTCAAACTTATGATGTTCCTTTGGAACTGCTGCCCAAGCCCTGCTTATGTATGTAAGCTCTTAATATATCTTTACTGCCGAATTGTACCCTATTGGGTATGCCTTAGCAAACTTTCCTCACTTCTCTCATGCTAATGCTGTGTATTTGTCTTTGATCCAAATGCGAGGACGGAGAGCTATCCAGCCAACGACGAAAGCCCAAATCGTGTTGATGGTGCTGATATTCCCGTGCTCCTCCTTGAATCTCACTAAGAAACTATTTGTTAGGATATCATTGTGTGCGTGTGACTGACCATAAATTGCAAATTTACACAAGATTTTCGTTACTATGTTTAATGAAGATTTTTCTACTTTATCTGAGACAAGTCCATGGACAATCCTGTAATTAGTGTGTTACAAGAGAATTAGAAAAGAGTACTGTCTCTATTGAAACTGTAAGAATAACAATAACGTAAAGAGCGTTGAATGATTCTTAACTCGATTTGCTTATACAAACTATTCGCCTTTTAAAAACTTGACAAGTTTTCAATGTGTGATTTTAATGACACACGAATGCGCTTTATATTCCAGATATTTTGTGAAAATGTTCACAAATAAAAGCTCACAAAAATTATCACAAGCAACAATAGTTATCAAGCAATGTGAATAACACAAAAGCATAAGTGACAAACTCTAGTAGTTCTAGCTCTAGTAGTGGT